GACGGCCTGTGTCCAGTGACTGGTCAACGTGGGCTGTCAAGACCTGACCCCTCGCGCCTAATCGGGACAACTCGTCAGGGTCATTTCGGCCCAGGGCTGCTGTGGGGTTACCTGAGGCCTGTAAAGGGACTGTGTCACAGTTCAACTCCTCCTTTGCAGCCTCATTGTCCTATAAGTAAGTTCTTGCAAATGACAGGAAGTGGAAATATCACATGCCACCTTCAGAAACTCCCTCTAAGGGGCAGAGACTGCCCCACATCAATCCTTCCTTCTGGCTGGAATGCAAACGTGATGCTGGCCCTTGAGCAGCCATCTTGGGCCGTAAGGTGGAAGCCATGTGCCAAGAATGGTGGAGCCACGAGCTAAGGGGAACCTGGGTCCCCAGTGCTGTGGAGCTGCCACACCAGCCCTGGGCTGCCCACCTCTAGGCTTCATCACAAGCGAGAAATTAACTTCTGTCATGTTTAAGCCACTCTTATTTTGTTGTCAGTATTTGCAACTGAAATGAATCTCAGCTAATATCCTGGCAACAACTGGTGTTGGCACCAATCAGTCATGGAATGAGCGAGAGGCCAAAACAGCAAAACTTGCACTGAATCCAGTAAAACAGATAGAAAAGTGCCATTTTGCAAAGAGCCTTAGAATAGTGTGAAATGTGCATTCAGTTTCAATGTAGAGTAAAATTCGTGTCTCTGCAAAAGTCCTCTGCCCTTCACACCTCATGAAATAGTTCCTAAGCTCTAATTTTGCTGGTCTTAAAACTCAGAAGGGCCTATTACAGGACTTCCGCTGGGGCATCCTGCAGTGGGAAGGGGACCTGGTCGTTCCACTCCCTTTGCTAGTAACAGGAGTAGGAATGGGCATGTGATGCTATTCTGGCCGATGAGAGGGGAAGTCAGCTGGGGAAGGAGGCTTCTGAGAGTTTTCATAGACACAAGGGAAGAGCATTCTCTTTTCTGCCTTTTTGCATTAGTGCATAAGGGTGTGATGCTTGGAGCAGTGGCAGCCATCTTGAGGTCAGGAAGGGACAAGCCTGAGACTAAAAGTCAATGCACTGGCTCCTTGAAGACATGAAGATATTGAATTAAGCAACCCTGGAGGCACCCTATCACCAGACTCTCCGTTACGTGTGGCAGGCACCGTGAACTCCCTTCTAGTGTGCATTCTTCCTGTCATCCTTTTAGTAATAGAACCTATTGAGTTTTAGCAGACAGTTGGCCCCCCAGCTGCAGACTACATTCCCAGCATCCTTGGCAGCTGGGCGTGGCCACGTGGCTAAGTCCAGGCCAATGGGATGTGAGCGGAAGCAACACATGCAACTTTTAGATGATGTCCTTGAAGACATTTGCCCCGGGCATTCTCCTCCCCTTTCCCACTAGTTGGAAAATAGCAACAGCTGGAGGCCTTGGGAAGCTCCATCTTGGGGTGGCAGAGCGGCCCCATCCGCCCTGGAGCACTCACCTTGGGGCTGTGGGGGAAACAGTCTTCTGCCTCATCTCAGCGGCTCTATTTCGAGTCTTTGTGCCAGCAGCTGCCCGAGTACCTTAGCCGGTCCATCCTGTGGCATAATTGACACCCACAGGGTTCCGGCCACCTGACTTGTTTCTGGCAGCCAGAGGTCTCCTCTCTGATCCTGCTCTCCCTGCAAGTTGGTGGGGACTGTGGCTGTGAGGAATGGCTTCCTGTTTGGGGTCCCCCCTCCCCCCGACTCCTGGCCCCTAGTTCAGTCTCACCGGCTACCTTGGTCCCCTCTTCCGCCCAGGGAAGGGGATGCTCCCCAAGCACCCCAGCCCCCCGCCCAGCAGCCCAGGTCATACCTAAGCCCACGGCCAGATGTTAGGTCCTGACCCCCAACCTCACAGCGGAATTCCCAGCATGCCTTGCCCTGGCTGGCCCATGTCAGGACAGGCAGAGATTCAGGAACAAGAGAAGCAGGAAACCAGACTTCCAGGAACACGGTCCTGGTTACTCACTCATCCTCACTGCTGTTGGGCATAGATGGAGGACAGACCAATGTAACATTCAAACACGAAGTTGAAGATTCATACAGCGGCCGGGGGGCCTACGCACTCCCCGAGCTACCGAGCTACCGGCAAAGCTGCTTCCCACATGCTTGCACTCGGCCAGCTGGGGCTCGTGCAACAACCGACGGCACCTGCCCGGCCCCGGGGGCCCCTCGCTGCCCCGGTACACGGATGGGTCCTCATCTTCTTCCCCAGCTCCTGGACAAAAACACGTGCCGATGCGCGGCCCAGAAGCAGCTGCAGGGCTCCTCAGGTCTGACTACTGTCCCCAGGACTGGCCTCCCCGGGAGCCCGCCCATCCCTCCTCCTTCCTGAGAACTTGAGAATCCATTGCCCAGTAAACAATCTGGCTCCTACTCCAAAGTGGGGCAGCCTGAGGCTGCCAGGGCATCAAGTGACTGCGAGCTTGGGAGGGGACAGAACGAAGTGCAGGGTCGCCGGAATCAGGCCCAGGCAGGGGGGCCCGGGGAGGGCTCTGCTCTACGCGTGTTGCACAGGGAAGCAAGCCGGAGCCCTCGCCAGCTCCCCCAGCCGGCCTCCTCCCTACCTCGAGCTCAGCCCTCAGGACAGCCAAGGCCTGGGTTCAGATCCCAGTCCTGTTGCCTACTTGCTGAGCCTCAGTTTCCCCATGTAGAAAGTGGAGGTGTGTTGTCTACAATGTGCTCCATGCCAGGTGCCACACTGGCTCATTCGAACGTCACAACCATGCTGGGAGGGAGGAGCCGTCCATCTCCTCTTCGCAGAAGAGGCAACAGGCACAGCTCTGGCCAGGGCGCGGAGGCCAGCAGGCAGGGGAAGGGGATCTCTGGGCGCCCCTGCCCTGCCCTGGACAGGATGGCTCCTACCAGCCCAGAGGAGATGCAAGATCACAGCACGGGGGCGGCTGGAGGCTGCGGTCTTTGAGGGTGGGTGGGGAGGGCGGCAGAGGGCACCTGCCAGCCGCAGCGTCTGGATGAATCAGCCTTTCTCCTGCTGCCTCGGCCCCGCCGGCGCCCATCCTCTCAGCCTCTTTTCTCCAGGATGCTGCTGTTGTTTCTGGCCAGCTGGATCCTGGCTGGTTTATAGCTGCTGCATTAAGAGGCTGGGTGGGGGGCAGGCCCAACGAGCTACAGCCCCCCGACCGTCCAAGCCGATGGACGGAGAGGCCTTATTAGAATGTAGAAGAGAAAGAATCAACCCCAAACCCCTGCGGCCGCCTCTGCCTCCCCCCCGCCCACTTTCTCAGAGACAAGGATGCCAGGAGCATCTCATTCCTGGTCCTGCCTGGCATGATGTAGGAGTCAGGGGCCAAGCCTGCCTCCTGGACTGCGTTTCCAGAGTGGGGTCCTCTGAGAAGGCCTTAAACATTGGGCCCCCCCCCGGTACTCCTGCAGAGCTGGCCGCGGCTGCTCCAGCCTGGCCTGACCTCCGGGTTAGAAGGTGTTGCATTAGCCGAGGACCCAAGGGTCTCTTACTGCTGCTCCCGGTGAGCCAGGGTCCAGAGCTGGTGCCTCTAGGCCCTCAGCTCTGTGTGGTCTGCTGGGAACTTCTCGAGGCCCCTGCAAAGCTACATGGATGTCCTCCTGGGGGAGCCTGAGCCCACGCCCAGGAATGACCCTGAGAGGGACTTGATGCGGTTCTGCCCGTCAAGACGTTTGGGAGGACAGGCCAAGCATTCAACAGCCATGGAGGATGCCTGGGAGCTGGGGCTGGAGGGGCAGTCAGGGAAGGGTTCCTAGAGGGGACATGGACCTCACGGGGAAGAACAGGAGGAGTTTGTGGACAAGGATGGTGGGGAAGGGCCTTGCAGGCAGCAGCAAAGGCACTGAGGGTATCGACAGGTGAACGTCAGGGTGGGGAAGGGAGGCAAGAATTTGCAGTTTAGTGTGGCTGGAGGGCAATACTCAAAGCTGGAGAGGGAGGCAGGGCCAGATCCAGGAGGGCCTTGAATGCCGAGCCTAAGAGTTAGGCTTTGTTCCTTAGGCAACAGGGAGCCATAGAAGAGTTTAGGGTAAGGGAGGGACATGTGCCTGTTTCACCTCTATATGCTGACACATGGCAGCCCCTCACTATATGATGGCCAAATGACTAATCAAACAGTGCTTGACCCTAAGAGGTCAGCTCACTTGCTTAAGCACATATAGTTACATAGTATTTGTATTCTTAAAGTAAAACTTGCCCATTTTTTAAAAAATTTAAAAGATAGGTGAGATGATGTTGTAGTTGGAGAAATAACTGACATATAATCCACTGTTTTCGTCAAAAACATCACCTGTTTTTGAATACCCCCAGAGCCAGGGAGCTCCCCTCCTTACCAGGCTGCCCAAGACTGTCTGCAAGCAGAATCCAGAGGCCTCTAAAAAAAGGGCGGGCTGCTGAGCCCCAGAGCGCCTGGCAGCACCCGTGGTCCTGCAGGGGAGGGCTTCTCCCGCCTGGCCAGAGCGCCCAGCTCCAGACGCTGCTCCTCATGGTGAAGGAGCCGGGCCTCGCTGCGCGGACAGCAGATTTCCTACTGGCCCAGCCCGGGGGCTGCCAGAGGGCACTTCTGGGCTCTCTCAGGATCTTGGCCAGGCATCCAGGGTGAGGCAGGCCCCCCCTCTCTGGGGCCTCCTCCAGGCTTGGTGGTGGCACACCCCTACGCCAGTGGAGGAGCTGGCTCCTCCCATGTCCTCATTTGACCCCGTTTAGGTTAAAACAGATTCAGGCTCATTAAGAAGTGGGGGTGGGGGTGCTGGCGGGACCCAACCCAGGCTGCTTGTGAGCCTTGGAGAGTGAGGTGGGAGAGCAGGCCCCTCCACTCCCCAGCGCAGCCTCCAGCACCTGGGTCGTGGGCCCGCCGGCTGCCAGGTCCCGAGAACTCTGGCAGATGTAGCAGCAAGACCTCAGGCAGGACCCCACCTCCTCCAGCCCTGCTGCTTCCCCATCCCCAAAGCGGGGCTAATAAGGGCTGTGTGAGTGAACGTTTTTCACCAGCCACAACTCACTAGACGCCAGTGAGTCACTTTCATTATATTTATTATTCTCCTGTGTCTGTCACCGGCAGGCGGAGGGAGTTTTCTTTAAAATGCTTTTCCCAAGCCAAAAGAACTCCATGCCCCCAGGGCCCTGGAGCAGGCAGCTGACACATGTCCCCCTTGCGACATCTTCTGGAAAGGAAGGATGGGATGGGCCAGAGGGCTGTCCCCAAAATGCTCCTCGGCCAGCTCTCCCGGCCTCAGCCCAACAAAAAGAAACGCAAACCAGGGAATAGCAAATCCCCTGCCCCGGGGCTCTCGGGGCTGCGTTTGCAGCCCCCTCTCCCACAGGCCGCCGCCCCGCCTGCTAAGCTCTTGGAGCTCCTCCCTCCTTCCCATCCCCTTTCCTGGGGCTTCTGTGTGCGTCCCTCACCAGCACCTCGGCCCCAACCAGCCTGGCTTCCCTGAGCCGCCCTGGAAGATGCTTCGATGGTCACCGCTCTTGGGTGTTGTCTAGAAGACCCAGGCACTCCCCCAGCTCTCTCCAGCTGGTTCTGGCTGGAGCCCTCCCCCATCACTGGTCACCTTTACCCTGAGACAGTGCACTGGCCTAGGGGGTGTCCCGCCAGCCTCACACTGGCTTGAAGTGAGCGGATCCCAGGATCCACAGCACGTCCTCCAAGAACACCTCTGGGGCTGACGGTTCTCTGTCCCCCCACAGCCTGTCCCAAATCCCGGCCTGCTGCGGCTCAGGCTGCCCTCTCCGGCCCTCCCCTCTCGCCTCCCCAGGAAGGGTGGCCAAGAGCCCTTCTCCATCAGACGACGGGGCAGGGGAGGTGGCCGGGCAGGCCCCTCACAAGTACATCTTCATCACCTCGTGCGTCGTGGGACAGTAGCGGGCGTGGAGCTGGGCCAGCAGCGCCCTGGACGTGGCCTCAAAGCGTGTGCCCTGGCTCTTCTTGTTCCACACGTGCACGGCGTACGTGGCGTTGAGCAGCCGGGACAGCTCCTCGGGGCTGACATCCTCAAAGTACTTCTTCCAGTTCTGCCAGGGGATGGGGTAAAAGGCCTCGGGTGGCAGGGTGGTGACACCGCGGCACGCATGGCTCTCATCCAGGCTGCGGATGCCACACCACTTCTTGAAGACCCGCGTGAGCAGCTGTGGGCCCTGGTGGCCCCAGATCCAGCCGTTATAGTGGGCTACGAAGTCACGCATGCACAGCGCCATGAACTCGTGCTGGCGCTCAAAGGCCAGGAAGGCACCATTGAGGACATAGCGGGACTGAGTGCCCAGCACATTGGTCAGGTTCCGTAGGTTCTTGAGGACGACGAAGTCCGTGTCCAAGTAGATGCCGCCGAACTTCCACATGAGCGCGATCCTGGCGGCGTCGGAGAGCACGGGCAGCAGGTAGGGCTCCCAGCGCCGCCACGCCGCCTCGTGCCAGGCCGCCAGGGGCGTGTCCCGGAACAGCCCCTCCAGGTCCAGCGGGAGTATCCGGACGTTGGGGAAGCAGCTCAGAAGAGAGAGGCCCAGGTGCCGGGGGAGGGAGGCATTGCCACCAGGCAGCCCCTTCATCAGGACCTCCACCCGGGACTCGGGGTGGGCCCTGGCCGCCGACTCCACTGAGCACATGAACAGGAAGTTGGGGTTGGTCCGGTCTGAGGTCTCCAAGAAGAAGATGTTGTGCAGAGCGGGGGTGCTAGAGGGCGGTGGCGGGGGGACCAAGCGGGGGCAGGCGATGTCAACAGGCAGGTTAAAGAATTGTCCTTGGCCCCTGGGCTCTCCCAGAATGTGCCAGTAGATCATGACAGAGACGAAAAAGATGAACTTGAAGCCGATGATGAACAGGGTGTAGACCCGCTGCCTCGATGCACCCCAGAGCAGCTGCAGCAGGCAGTTGGGGGTCCTGGACATGGTCCCCCAGATGACACCAGGAGCCTCCAGCAGGAACTGGCTGCTCTGCAAGAGATGAGCACCACAGTCGGGCAGGCTGTTGGCATCCCAAGCCAGGAAAAAGGCTTCCTAATAACACCAGCCACAGCCAACGCGGGCTCCCAGAGCCCAGGGGCCTGCAGCTTCTCAGAGGCCCTCTCCTCCCTCAGCTGTAAAACAGGAGCAGTGGGCCAGGACTGAGATCTGTGCAGGGTCCCCTTCCCTCTCTGTGAGACACCTGTGAGCTCCCCAAGGCCACCTACAATCTGAGGCCATCACCGGCCCAGGGTCTGACATGTGCAAGGGTTGTCAGATTGATGCCTTTGTGGCACACAGGCTTCTGCCTGGCAAGGCCTATCCCCCTCAGCCTGCCAGCCTGGCAGCCTGTGATTCGAGGCCCAGGGCATCCACCCCTCAGCTCCATTCAGTTCCACGAACCAGGCCTGGAGCTTGTCCGAGAGGACGGACTACCCGGCAGCCTCGGCGGGCCTGGGCGCTGGCATGCGAGCTCGCTCACAGGAGGACGGGAGAGCTCCAGGCCCATGAGGATGCTGCTGGGTCCTGAAGCCCTTGGCCCACACAACGGGGTCTCCTGAGCCCCTGGCTTCCCTAGCCCCTGCCCTGGGCTGTGTGTCTCATAGACACAGGCCTGGAGGGGAAAGGGACTGCAGTCTGTGACCTTGACTCATACTGCCGCCCTGGGACCCTCACTCAGTCCTGGTCACGCCCACTTACCCAGGAGCCAAGAACACTCCTGGGTGCCCTGCAGGTGGCTGGGAGGAATGAGACAGGCGTGGGCCCTGTCCCCGAGGGTGGGACTGTGTGAATGCCTGGGATGTGTGGGTCCCCAGCTCTGCCTGAACCAGCTGTGCGACCTGGGGCAAACCACTCAGCTCTGTGAGCCTCGATCTTCCCACCTGCAGGACAGGAACACTGGAACCCCCTGAAGGTTTGTGTCGGTTCATCTGTTCATTCATTTAATAAATATTGACTGTCTACCGCACACGTGGCGGGCGGAGTCCTCAGCATTTCACACAGATTAACTCCTTCAACCCCTACAGCCACGCTCTGCAGTGGCAAATATCACCCCCACTTCACAGGAGAAGAAACTGAGGCACAGGGAAATCCAGTAATTCAAGCAGAGTCGCAGGGCCGGCAAGTGTCAGGGCAGGCGTTTGAACCCAGGCCACCGGCTCCAGAGTCCATGCTCTCATCACTCCACCATCCTGCCCGGGAGCGAGACCGGACAGCAAAGGTGCGAACACGCCTGGCGCTTCCGGGCCTCAGCGCACATGGACCCAGATGGTACTCACTGTTAACAGAGTCCCAGCCGCCGCTCACTTAGGGCCTCCGAAGCGCTCGGTGTCAAACTCACATCCCCTCTGGCCCTCAGGAACCCCAGGGGCCAGTTGTATCATTTCCACTTTTGAGCCAGGAAACCCAGGCACAAAGGGGTGGAGGGACCGGGGGCAGCCTGGGGGCCAAGGGAGCCACAGCCAATCCCTCCCCAGGACACACAGGTCTCACTGCCTGAGGAGGGTGCCAGGGGCCTGGGACTTGAGCAGTTGGGCCCAGCTCTCCCCAGGGCTGAGGGCAGAGCACTGACCAGCCTGGGCGGCCCATGGCGGTGAGGCAGGGATCCAGGCAGCCTGGCAGGCCTCCTGCAGACACGCCCCGGCTCAGCAGCCAACCTTCTCTGCCAACACGGACACGGCCCTTCCACACGCTCTCTGCACCCGCAAATCCATCTGGAAAAGATGGCGAGAGACAGAGTGAGGCGGGTCGCAGTTTCCCTGAGGCCTTGTCCCCCAGCCACACAGGCCCAGCTAGCTGTGCCTGGGGTCCTTTGTTCAGTGACTCCTTCACTCTCTCGGCCACTCAGGGAACTCAGCTGGGAGGAGGGGAGAGTCAGGCACAGCCCCGCCCGTCCGCCCGAGAGGAATGCTCAGCCTGATGACACCATTTGGAAAAAGACAGGACAATACACCAGAGGGAAGACAGCTGACATGGAGCAAAGAGGCCAGCAGAGGGGGGAGAAAGTGGCTTCCCAGGGGAGGTGATGCTCGATGGGAAGGGAGTTAACCAGATGGAGCTCCATAAGCGCCACGGGGGCCTGCACACCTCTCCCTGGTGCCCAACTCAGTGCCTAGCACCCAGTAGGCATACAGGAAACTGACTCACTCTCACATAGTAGGAAAGTGACTGTTTCTGACTCACTCAGCAGCAGCCAGAGGGAAATTTTAAAAATACAAGTCAGGCCACATCATTCCTCTGCTCAGACCCTGAGTCATGTGGGAGGGCCGAGGTTCACCGGTCCTGCGCATCCCTCGACCCCTGACCTCACACCCACTTCTCTCCCCATCGTCTGCTCTGCCCCAGCCACACCTCCTGGCCTCCTTGCTCTTTCTCACACCCACCCCCCTTGCTGCCGTCTCAGGACCTTTGTACCTGCTCTTCCCCTGCTTGCACCGCTCTTCCCGCAGACATCCATGTGGCTTGTCCCCTCACTTCCCTCAAAGTCACCTTCTCATGGGCCCTCCCTAGGTTCCCCCTAAAATCCCGACCCCTATCACTTCATAGCCTCTGACTTCAGTTTATTTCCTCCAGTACTGACTCTGACATCCTGTGCATTTTCGTACTCATTTGTTTTGGTTATTTATTTGGAACATAACCCCATGAGGACAGGTATTTTTTGTGTTTTGTTCAACATCTAGAATAGTGCCCAGCTCTCGATAGATACTGAACATTGAGGGACTCCGCGTGTGCGAGATGAGGGAAGGAGCAAGTGAGTGAATGAAGGAGTGAGTCAATGAGTGAGCGAATCAATGAGTGAGTGAGGGAATCAATGAATGATCAGTGCGTTAAGGAGGGAGCGAATTAATGAGTGAGCAAGTCAGTGAATGGGCAAATCCACGAGTCACCAAACGAGCGGGCGACAGAGCCGTGGCGTGAACCGAGAACCGTGTGTTCCCCTGGCCCCGGTTTTTCCTGCTGGGAGAGAGGCTATTTCGGTCCTGAGTATTTTTAACCCAATGTGAACCACGCTGAGGAGTGGACAGACAGACAGTTGGATGGAGCAAGGCTTCGGCTGCTGAGGTTGGGGGTGGCGCTGGGGTGATCTGGTTCCACCATGGAGTGGGGCGGGTGGAGTCTGGGCCCGTCGGGGAGGTGGGATGCGCTGCCTGAGCCCGGGCCTGCCACGGAAGAAGGTGCCAGATGTGAGCAGCGCCATATTTGGTGCCAGAGCCCAAGACCCAGGAATAGAAACTGTGTATGGGGCCAAGTTGGCCACAGCCCAATACCCGTGTGACCTCAGGGCCAAAGCATGCTCCTGGCCCCCCTGCATGGGCCTTGCAGCAACGGCCCAAATCTTGACCCTCATCAGTTGAGCCTGGCACATCACCGCCTCCTCCTCCTGCCCACTACTTCCAGCCCTGCACCAGGGAGATAGCTCCAGTTAGCACGTTAACTGTGGCACATCCCCGCTCTAGGCCCTTCCGTGGCTCCCCATGGTCAGGACCCCCAGGATCCATCTCAGGCAGGAAGTGAGGGTGAGAAGTGGAGGCAGACCCTGCTGGCCTGGCCCTCAGCACCAGCCCTGCAGACCTCACCTCGGGGGCACTGGCATCAGGGGACGAGACTCACGTGTCTGGGAAAGGCTCCCTTACCTGTCGCTCGCCCCCGCTTCATGGCCTGCCCCCACCTCTGCCCCTCTCTGGGCTCCCGTGTCTGGCCAAGCTCATGACCCAAACAGAACAGAGTCACGGTGATGGTCCAACACGGTCCACACCGAACCCCACTCCCAGGCTGAACACTCACCAAGCGGCTCTCAGTGCCAGAGCTGGGCCCTTGGAGATTCTGATGTTCCAATGGGGACACAGAGGCCCAGAGAGGGAAAACGACTTGGCAAAGGTCCCGCAGCAGTGGAGGGTGGAGCCGGTGCAGGGACCCAGGCCTCCAGCAGGGGCGGCTCAGGGAGCCCTCCTGCCCCTCTGCAGGGAGTGCCCAGTACCCTAGCGGCCTTCCTAGAGATGCTGCAGGAGGACACCTCTCAGCAGAGGTCTCGACCCAGAAGACAGTGCAGACAGAGGAAGGGACCACCTCGGGTCCAGCTCCCCCTATAGTTTCCCGCGGCTGCCGAAGCCAATGACCACAGACTCTGGGGCTTAAAACAGATGCCTGTGTTCTCAGCGGTCTAGAAGGTGGCAGTCTAAAATCCGGGTGTCAGCAAGGCCACACGCCCTCTTAGGTTCTAGGGGAGAACCTGTTCCTTGCCTCTGCCAGCTTCCGGTGGCTCCAGGCGTTCCCAGGCTCGTGGCTACACCACTCAGCCTCTGCCCCATCTTCACAAGGGCTTCTCTTTGGTGTGTCTGGGTCTTCTGCTCCTCTGCCTCTGATCCTCATCCTGTCATTGGATTTACGGCCCACCTGGGCAATAGGTCTGTCATGCCCACCTCCTGAGCCTGTGAATGTGACCTGGTTAGGGAGAGAGGTCTTTGCAGGAGGTATTAAGTCAAGGATCCTGAGAGGAGGAAATGAGGCTGGTACGGCCCACCTGGGTAATCCAGGCTATTTCCTCCTCTCAGGATCCTTGACTTAATAACTTCTGCAAAGACCTCTCTCCCTAATGAGGTCACCTTCACAGGCTCAGGGGGCTAGGGCACCACAGATCTTCTCTGAGGCCATTATTCATCCCACTATACCCCCTTCCATGTTTCTCTGTCCTGGAGCCTCAGAACCACCCTGTGAAGAAGGAAGCTCTGTTCTCAAGTCACTGACAAGGACTGACAAGGACATTGAGGCCTGGGGCTGTAGAGTGACTTGCCCAAGGTCACACAAAGGGTTGAAAGGGAGCCGAGATTGGAACCCAGGGTCTGACTCCGGAGTCTGAGGTTGGCTGCCTCACCCTCTGTGCACAGACGTCTTGGAGTCTCGGCCGCAAGGGTCCCCTCTGCAGAGGCCACCCTCCACTCCCATCACCCAGGCGTTTCCCTCAGGGCCTGGGTCCCGAGCCTGTCCCGGGAAGCAGGCTGAGACTCGGAGAGACATCTGAAGGGACTGGGGAGTGCCTGGGTCCCTGTGAGGGTGGGGGACCCAGGACAAGGCAGAGGGAGAGCGGGGCTGTGAGGCGGCCCCACTGGAGGCCTCAGCTGGTCCCACGGGAGCCCTGGAGCTGGCACGGACTTCAGAGACGTTCGTTCCAAACGAGGGTGAGGCCTGTACCACACTGACCCACACTGGACACAGGCTTTTCCCTGGGTGAGGGGCCCCCCATCCTCTGGAAATGGTCTTGTTCGTGTACGGCTCTCAGAGTCGTAAGGGTGCAGCAGCTCACCTGTCTTACTAATTTCCACCCCCAGGGCTTGCACAGGGCCCAGCAGACAGTGGGCGCTCAACAAACACTGGTAGGACAAAGGAAGGATCTCGGGGGAGCCAGGTGCTCTTTCTGCTCTCCTCAGGGTCTCGGGGTCTCAGGGACAAACCAGGAGGTCAGGGAACTGGATGGTGAGGAGCAAAGTCAGGGCTGGGTGGGCTGTGGGGGGAAGCAGCAGACCCAGCAATATCTGAGTGAGGGGCCCCACATCAGTGTCCATGCGGGATTCTGCGGGGGTTGCCAAGCCGCAGATGAGGAACTGGCCAGTGCACAGGGCCAGGCTGCAGTGGGGCAACTCCTCTTGGCCTGGGATCCTAGATCCTTTAGGTGGCAAGGCTCCAGCCCCAGGGTCAGACTAGGGCTCCAACCCCAGCTGTGCCATCCTCAGTCGTGTGACCACAGGTAGGCTACGTTCCTCCTCTGAGCCAGAGGGGACGCAGACCCACACGAGCCCACCAAGCCTCCTCCTGGGCCTGCGCCCGCGGTGTGTGGCCTTGGGCAAGACAAGATCCTCTCTGAGCCTCCGGTTCCTGCTCTGTCGCAGTGGGGTAGCACCAGCGCCCAGATCACAGGTCGCTTGGGGAATAAGTCAGCAAGGACATCTTGGAGTCTGGGGCAGAGGCTAAACTGGGTCCTGGGCTCAGACCCAGGGACCTGTGGTGGAGGCCAGGCCAGGGCGAGGCAGACGAAAAGGATCATCTCATACCTTCTCCAGGAGTCTCTCATCCCAGGCCCCACAACTCTGGGGTCACACGTTGCCTTGAACATCACTGAAATGACAGCTCCAAGGAGAACATGCCTGGGGAGGCCTCTGCACGGCAGGGGAAAATGGTCAGAAGTCACATGCACTGAGGGTTCCCAGTGGAGACGGGGCGGCCGTCTGCTGGTTTTGTCTGCCAGGCATTCATTCCCCCTTCTTCTGGTAACAGCATATAACAGATAACAGTGTTATCTGTTATATAACAGTTCCTCTGGGGGAAGGACCCCTGCCCCACAGACCCCACTCCCTAGCTTTGGGGGTGGGCACAGGATTCAGGTCTGGCTAATGACTGTATCACATTCTCCTGGCCACAGTGATTGGTTCATAGAGGGCATGTAACCCAATCCAGGCCAAGTGGAGGCAAGTGCTTTCCAATGGGATTGCTAAGATGTGAGCCAGGAGGGAGGGGCCTGCCTGAGAATGAAGCTGGCCCAGAGGCAAGCAGAGCCAAGAGATGGAGCAGAAGAGATGCATGGCCACGTTGTCTCTACACCTGGATCCTGCTACGCCTGAAGCCGATCCACTCCTGGACTTCTCAGTCACATCATCAGTACACACACACACACACACACACACACACACACACACACACACACACAAGAGGGCGGGAGTCC